AATAACTTTTGAGTCGCTATCTCACTTCTTGCACAAAGATAAATTCCAGAAAACTTATTTTTAAAAGGCAGTTAGGAAGGACGTTTATAGTCTTTTAGTGAGATCTTCCAGTCATAAAAGAATTGATAAGCATCATTCACAAAATCAAAAAAGGGAGAGAAAAAAACCCTCCGTGTTCCCAAGGGCCATTGTCCTTAACGCATGATACTCCCTACAGAACCTGGAAACCAAACTGTCATCAAGTCATTGACAACTCAGAGGAACCCTAGACAGGGTAGTTTGCCCCTGTGGGTTCTGAAACTAACGCTACAGGGGCACAAAGCCTTTTCTTTCTCCCATGAACTATTACTAAAAATCAATGACACAAGATTCTAGTGAAGAAAAATACAAATAGTTGTTAAATACACGTTTGTATTAGGAGAAATAATTCTATTAGAGAATGACTGTATTGGTGAGATGAGAAAACAGGCACTCTTCTCCATGGTGTATGTATATAGACTATTACTTCTATTGAGAGTAATTTTGGCAGACTTAAAACATAAAAGCAGTTAGTATCAATGTATACCTCCTTTGGCCACACTCCACTGAAATTTGTTATGCTCACAAGTGTAAAACCACATACAAGGATATTCTGGTAGCAAAATTATACAAATAACTTATAGAAACTAAGTTTTTTCCAATACTACGCAGCCAGCTGTTCAAGTGACAGTTGTTATAGGCTATTTCAAATAAAAACAAGGTGCTCCTTATACAAACCCATGATCATTTATGGGTTTGAAAAATAAATTACGCAAAATGTGTTTGAAGAGTCTCTGCCATCAGTGGATGGCCGAAGACATGTTCTCTCAGTAATAGTGTCTTAGTCTGGTTATGGCACCTTGAAAAATGACCCAGTGAAAACGGTGGCCTTCCAGGGGATTGTCTTGCTTGTTAAATTGTGTTCAGAAAATTATGGTGAAGGGTTTTTGTACTCCAACGGGGTAATCTTGATTATGACGGTAGTTACAGGGACTTATTAGGAAGTTTTCAGAAAATGAAAAATTACACTGGTGAGAAAAAGGCCAAGAAGGTTGAGCCAGTTTATCCCACAAAACACTTGCTCATTCTTCAAAGACCGCAAAGGCTGATCCTGCAGGAATTTCATTGGGAAGATTTACCCCATCCAACCTACAAACTCTGATTATGGTAGTGTTCCCAACTTTCAAAAAACAATGGAAAATAGAACCATTTAACTCCCTAGAGGATGCCTGAACAATGTTGCCGAGAAATGGGAAATTCTGCCTTCATAAGTTTATAGGCCTAGGTGGAAGATGTCAAAAACCAAGTCTCACATTTGGATTTTAATGAGTTTCTAATTTTGCAATAATATTTTACTTTCTCATACATACTTTACAAAATGATTCAACAAGTCAGGTGGCAGTTTATACTCAACAAGTTTGTGGCAAAGCCTACAGAGCTGTTAAGATAAGCATGGCAATCTTCTAAATCTTCAAATATACTAATTCATATCCTATGCTTCCCATGAGGAAATATAGGAGCAGCCGTTTTGCCCATACTGGCGGGTTTAAACTTCTGACCTGGCAGATAGCAACCCAATGCCTAACCCGCTGCTCTGAAGACAACCAGTAGAGCAGTTATACTCTTAATACCAGTCACAAAGAATTGAACAAGTTAAAAAAAAATCCTTGAAAATTTGTACATCAAAGCTTTTAAATTTCAGGTGATTTCATCTAACTTCTAAAATTACTAGTTTCATTTTAGTTTGTAAAAATCTTGATTAAAAGGATCTTTATCATAAAAGGTTTTACATTAAAAGTATCTTTATAAAATTGTTAATGGACAAACTTCCTTTAAATGACACTTTCTGCTTAAATGAAGTAAGCCTTACCAACTAATGTGACAAGAGAAATCAAGTTTCTAAGTTTAACAAGGATTCTGATTTTTGTATTAAGACTTTAAACAGCTTATATGTAAAATTATCAGTAGATAATTTTTTTTCTCTAAGCAATTGCCCCCCAAAGCTTATCAGCTTTCATGTAACAACCTGAACACCTTTGAAAACATGTTCAACGTTTTTGGCTTATGGGTTCCTCAGAATTCTAAGGTGTAAAACCAAATTTTGTTTTAGAAGTGACCTACTTACCTTTTAATGTAAATACACCTTCACTCTTAAATGACTGAACCAATCCCTCACTTCCAACAAATTCTTCACAATCACTTCACTCATAGTACATGCAGCTTTTAAAACCGTTTAAAGCTTCAAAGGCTTTTCTTGCACATGAGGTTATGTAAGAACTATATACACCTGCTGTTCTAGTTTAACTACAAATGTGAATTAAAGACACTTAGGAACAGATCTTATTCATAACCAAGGCCTGTCCGTCAAATATGAATTGTGTTAGCTCAAACTATCGAGAAATTTAAGTTTTTTAATTATGTGCTCTACCTCAAATTAGTGAAATATTGTTCGAAATAATAAAGTGGAAAATCACTAGGCCTTGTGAGGATGTTATTGGCTAGTAAGTGAACATGTTAACTAAGAACTTGTTCGTTTTGACTCACTGCAAAAAATCCATTTTAACAAAGCAAATTCTGTAACTAATTTTAAGGAGTACGTTGCATAACAAATTAGGATTTTCTATTAACCATCAAGTTTTTTTTAACACAATAAACTGTCTAAAAAGTATTAGCACAAAAAAACCCCTTCTAGGCCATAAGTTTTAAATCAAAGGTGGTTTAACATACTAAGACCAAGACAATAGAAATAATATACATAATTTTATTACAAAATTTTTTAAAAAACAAAATGAAACATCCTAAAAACCCCAAAAATTTACTATTGATGCTAATTGCTAGGAGTTTGCTGTGCTGCCACACATAAGTCAAGAAATTAAAGAACCATTAAATATTTTAGAAACATTCAACATCAGAAGCTGTATGATCCAACTATGTAGTAGCCCCTCAAAAAGCTACAACTTGCATTTAAAAAAAGTATTTTCTCTACCAAGAATCTTATCAGCTATACAAAATTCTGTACAGTTTTTTATACTTAAGCTAATATTGAGCTGCACTTGAATTCACATTCTTAGCTAAACAATTGCCTGAGCACACACGCATACTCCATACATTATTACAGGATAGCCACTTATTCTTCATCTTCATCCTCTTCTTCCTCATCTTCATCGTCATCCTCTTCCTCCTCCTCCTCTTCATCTTCTGGTTCATTCTTCTTCTTTGAACCTGTGGGCCTGCCAGGACCCTTCTTTCCTGCTTCACTTTTGCCCTTGGCACGGTATGCAGCAATATCCTAAAAATTGTCACACACACACACAAAGCATCCGGTATCATTACTCAAGTATGTAAACCAATTCAACCTAGATTATTGACTAATCACTTTGGTGAGCACTTGTTCCCTGAGACTTCAGAAAGTTAATATAAGACGAAGTTGCATTAGGTCAATGCCTCTATGTGCATCAATATCCACTTTCTTCATCGCAGTCCTCCTGTAACATTACATTAAAATATTCGGCCATCCATTTCTGAACTACAAAACTACAAATCAAATTCTATATATGCAATTCACCAATACCTACAACAAAAATGCGGTTTCAATTAGCTTGTTGCTTAAACATGTAATTTTCACTAGGCTCTTTAAAAACATCGTTAGAAATCATTAAAACAAAATTGCTTAAGCTCCTGTTTAGTTTACAAACTATTATTATTTAGAAAGATCTACCTAAATTGTACTATCTCAGCTTTAGAAAAGTACCTTTTCATATTTCTCCTTTAGCTTGGCTGCTTTCTGTTCGTAGGGCTGCTTATCTTTGGCTGATTGTTCAGACCACATTTCACCCAATTTTTTTGCAGTATCCCCGATGGACAAGCCTGGGTGTTCACTTTTGATCTTTGGGCGATGTTCCGAGCAAAACAGGAAGAAAGCAGATCTGAAGAGAGTGACAACGTTAAGTAACCACAGGGGGAAAAGGCCAAGTGGCAATTGGGTTGATTTTAGAACAGACTTACGGTGGTCTTTTAGGGGCATTGGGATCTTTTTTCTTTCCCTTCTTATCGCCTTTGGGTGGCACGTAATTTTTCATCTCCCTGTCATAGCGTGCTTTGTCACTTTTGGCCATATCTTCAAACTTCGACTTCTCCTTTGCGGACATGGTCTGGGGGCGAAATATCCGACAGACAGGTTAAATGGATCGTGTCACGGACTCAGATCCAAACAAAAACAAAATGGGTGACTCCGGGACGACAGCAGTTGCATTTGTCAATCTTAAGGGGAAAAAAAACAAAAAACAAAAGCCGGCCCATAACCCAAAGGTGTGGCTGGCACTCAGCCGCCCGAAAACCGGGAGTGACCAGTTCCCTGCTTGCCGGGGGAGGGGGAGGGGGCCCAGCCCAGCACCCCGGGGCCCACGCCTCACCTTCCATCTCTCGGAACACTTCTTGGAGAACTCGGCGAAGTTGACCGAGGAGTCCGGGTGCTTCTTCTTGTGCTCTTCCCGGCAGGTCTGCACGAAGAAGGCGTACGAGGACATCTTGCCCCGCGGCTTGTTGGGGTCTCCTTTGCCCATCGTGACGCTCGGGGTCTGACTGGAGCAGGAGGCGGCGGTCGGCGCCAAGCCCGCGGCCGCAGGCGGGCGTGGCGGGGCCGCTTCCCGCCCAAACCCGCTCCCCGCCCCCCC